CAGATTGTTACATATATAAATGACAATTAGAATTTTTTTATCAAATGAAATTATTTAATAAGAACCACATATTGAAAAAAGAAAATTTTTAATTATTATTCTTATGCTTCATTTGTTAAATTTTTGTTGACATTAATATTCAAAAAGTCAAACTAAAATTATAAAATTGAATAGAGAGTATATTATTCCACCAATTTTGAAGGCTTAATGTACACTGAATTATATTTATATGGTAAATGAACAAATCATCTAGAAATTATATAGAAAAATTTAATATTGTCTTTCATTTAATGCCTATGGTTGTCTATTTCTTTGTCTTTAATTTTTTTTCTTAGATGTTTAAGGTTATCCTCAGATTTCTTCTTTATATAATAATTTTTATTTTATAATTTGATATAATTTAAATAATAAAATAAGATTTTTATTAATTAATATTTATAAGATGTCACCTCACTTTTCGTAAAATTAATTCAAATCTTTTTTTCTTTCAGTAATAGTGAAGAAGAAACATATGGATACTGTTAGTTTGGGATAAAATCAACAGTTCAAACCGTGCAATGTTAACCCAATATACCAAAAAAGTGAAAAATAAATACAAAGAAGTTTCAGGAAGGGATGTATAACATAACATAAAATTGCATAACCATATCTGACGCTAGTTTACTGCATACAGGAGGTTCAGGGGCTCCTGAAGAATCTGATCAATCATTCACTTCAACAATATGTCAGGGGAGTTATGCCTTCTAATTGTTTCCATTTAATTTCTTGACCACAAATCAAACTATATCTTGAATCAAGTTTCACACTTTCATTAGAAACATAAGACAACCCAGACAGTTCAATAGGCACAGTAAATTGCAAGCCTAGACAAGATTCTCACTGATTTTCTTCGCTTCTTAACCGGTGATGGGGTCACTTGATTCGTCTTTGAGAAGAGAAAAGCAGGAATCTTTGGAGAGCCCAAGATCAGGGTTCCGTTCATTTGAGAGTGGAGAGTGAACTTCAGGAGCTCTTCAATGCAGTCCCTGAGCTTAATAATTAACTGGGGTTGTCCCCGGGATGATGATTGTTTCATTACCTTCCTGCCCTGTAGTTCGAACTGTCGCCAAACAAATCAATTAATTTCATGACTTTATTCTCCAGGACCAGGCTCCTTTTTTCTGATTAAAGAGCTTTACTCACTGTTGTTTACCTTAGTCCCAACCAGCCTTGCTTAAAAGCAACATTGAATCTCTCCAACACGTCCTGAGAAAGAGCCAGTCCAAACTCAACCCCTCCTTCTTCACCTCCACTCTCTGAAATCGACATTCCCCCATAAGAGCGAAGGTGAGCCACCTCTGCCTTCTTTGGCCTCCCCCATCCGAAGTCCGTTTCGTACACACGCAATTTTGGCGACCCTGCAACTGAAACAGTGTGGACACCAGACTGGAATACTTCCTTCGCCTTGACAGCCACTTCTCCGCCCCTCTCAGCACTCCTTTATCCAGTTCCGATGCTTCTCTTCCAATAGCCTTCGCCGCCGCCAAAACCCATTTTCCCCCACCAGCTCGTTCCTCTTCGCTTCTGCGAAACGAGGTTCCCAGCAGTTTCCAAATTATGTTGCGGATAAATTCAGGCGATCTCTGCAATCTGCCATGAAAGCAAAGTGGTAAAGCTGGTCGTCGCCACCGTCGTCGCCAATTTCTCTTTCATATGATCTGATCACACAAACCCACATGTAAGCACAAGTCACTATGAATGCGGATACTCTTAGTTGCTCTGGTTGACTCTCTGTAGCGTTCTTATTTCGGACCCAATTCTTTAATATCTCGATTTGGGCTCGGCTAAGTACGGTGGTAATCCGAAGTTGCTGTAGGGGAATGCTGCTTAAATCCTCCCAATCCCAGATGTCCTTCATGAATATGGAAGCAAGCCGACCAGGGTCACTAAGGCAAAATATTTTGCTCATTTAATGTGCATGAAGTATGATTAGGAATTATCTGGTTAACAATGTTGTACATCCCTGCACTAACATCTCATAGGACTGATTCTGCAGAGAGCAATTCATTGCAGGAGAGAAATGAGCTCAAGCTGTTATTGTCAGGATCTTCTTGGAAGCTTTCAAGAGCAGTATACGTATCACTGGACAAACTGGAGCATCAAACATTTGTTACCTCATCAAATGACCAGGAAATATCTAAGAACACGTAAATTCGAGAAGAAAATAGATAGAACTTGGGGTTTTACTTTTCTAAGAAGAAATACATCTCCGAGAACAAGCAACATAGAACTGTCAAGAACCAGCAAACTGCAATTAGCTAGCCTGAAAGAGAAGGGGAAGAAAACGTTCCTGTTAGTTTTTCATTTACATATTATTCGCTTTAACGCTTTTTCTTTTGTTGATAAAACAGAATCTGTACTCAATGTGTTCACCTACTTACAAGTAAAATGCCCTTTGAAATCTCAGAAGTCCAAACACTGCAAAATAGAACAATTCAACTTTCATAAGAACCACAATCCAAAAATATACTTCATACAAATCAAAATTTGAGTATTAGAAACCAAATACCTGACAATGCAATAACTGCAATAAGGCTCAAGGAAATAGTCTATGTGGTTATTACATAACTGCATGGACGAAAGAATCATTATATCATGCATCATTAATATGAAAATGTGGTTGAGAGGGAGTGAAAGAGGTAGGAAGATATTTACATTATCTCAAGACCCTAGTTTATCAAGTGTCTGTTGTGTCTAGCCTACCTTTGTATATCTGCAGCTTCAAATGTTAAGTCGCCTCAGATACCTCAGCAATGGAAATTGCTCCCAAGTTATCTCTAATTTCTTTCATTTACTCCTGTTGCATTGTACATAGTTTCTGATGCCTCATTTGCTGTACGAATGATAATGTTCACAACAGTTTTTGCCTGAGAATAGAATCTCGCATTCCCTCCGAGAACCAAACCAGATGCCGTTCTGTAAAGAGAACAAAATCACAATAATCTGATAATGTTTTCAATTTTTTTAGCTTTGATTCATGGAGAGGAGCAGAGGAAGGCTGTATTTACTTACATTGCCAGGAGCATATATAGTCCAAAAGTTACATTGTCTGAAACAAGTTGATTTTTTCTTTGACTTTTGAGTCCATTTAAAGCATAAGGTAGCGGCCAAAAGATAGCCCTCCGTATACCAGTCCACATAGAAGCCATAGGATTCCAATTGCATACCCATAGAAGCTTGTAAATACAGTTGACTGCATAAAAGCGAAATAATACCCTTAGAAGAGGAGAAGAAGAAGATGATGATGAAGAAAGGAAGAGAACTAATTCAAAGGGAGAGAATTACACTCCAGTAATAATTGCTCGTAATGTCATATCCTCCTCTGTATTTCTTGAAATTGTTTAATGGATCAACCCTCACCATACCATTTGATCTTGACACATATATGGATTGAAATCGTACCTAAAATATCTTTCAAAAAAAAATGAGACATCATAAAATTAAGGGTTAGTGGTTTGGGTAATAGTGGTGCGCAACCCATTTTTTTCATCTTGTTAAACAAATTTTAATCGGACCGAGTTTTATTAAACAACTTTGAAAAATCGAGTACAATGCCAAAAGAAAAGAGAAATGGTTTCCCTAGGGTCTATTGAATTACATTTATATGTTGTACTGTAAAGTATCCAAGTTGGATTATGTTTCCTTTCCTTCTTAATTCGGGTTTGTGTTTTTTGTTAATATATTAATGAGGAAAAATAGGAGAAAGGATCTCCAAGGGTTACTTTTCCTATTTGGACACATTTTGCCATTTCTGCGCTAATACTTCGCGAATGAGTGGCAAATATTTGGGATGTCTTTTTGGTGTTGGAATGCTGCCAAAGAAGATGGAAGCTATACCTCCTTCGTATTTACCCCTCTAGTCTCAATTAACTTTTATATAAGTTTGCACAAAATGATTTTATATAGTAAATAAATAATGATAATAATATTTTTTATATATAATTTTTATTGAATATTTTTATTTAAATTAAAAAAATAATTATCATTTATTTATTATATAAAATTATCAAATTATTTATATAAGATTGAAGATTTAGAACAACTAAAAAAGATGAGAGAGCAGAGAAGTTTCGAGTAGAACAATTGGCTGTTCCTTACATGGCACTTCTCACCAGACTCAAGTTCGAGTCCTTTCCATCCCCTTATTCCCCTATCCCCATAATATAACTCTGTTCAAAAAATAAAAATAAAAGTGAGAGAGTAGAACAATTTATTTAAGTTAGGATTGGAATACATAGTAGCGTCAGGTATTCCGGAACTTTTCTTCTTGAGTTATTTATCCTAGTTTTTGTTAGGCTAATTCAAAAATAAGAATCCTGACAAGATGGTTTGGAATTGATAATGCCAAGTCATGTAATGCCTTGTTTTCTTCTATTATAAGACTTATACTCTTGATATTTGCTAAAAAAGTTTAGTCTCCCGTTTGAAAAAAAAAAAAAAAAAGGCCTAATTGAATCTAATTTAGTTTTTCTCTTTCACATTAATACTTATTTCAAAAGATTAAGAAAAACGCATCATTCATATTTTTACTTCCCGGATTTCGCCGCACTGTTATTTTCGGATTGATGGTCTGAGTAAGGGTAAAATGGTAAAATCAACATGTCAATTTACACTATGCTGAGGGAGTTAAAAATGTACCACGAGGCATGAAAAAACGTTAAAACTTGGTTTGGATTGGGAAAGTTAGAGGAGAAGAAAAGGAGAGTGAGGGGGGAGAAAACACTTATTTATTTGGATAAAAAATTTTAATGGAGGAGAGGGAGATGAAAGGAGATGGAGCTTTCTCCCCTCCTCTGTTTTAATCTTTTTGATTTGGAGGAATTGTGATGAATTATATTATTTAATTAATTTTTATTTTTTAACTTTTTTAATAAATATATAAATATTTTATTCTCATTATTTATTTAATTAATAAATTTAAAAAATTTTATTCCTATTTATTTTTTTATGAAATCATCTAATTAAATAAAAATATTATCATTTTTTCTCCTTCACTTTTATCTACCCAAACAAAACTTAGATTAACCATTTCTTTCTCTTCACTTCTCCTTCCTTTTCTTCCCTTTCCCTCTCTTTACTTTCCTTTACTAATTTTTATCTGATCATAGGCCAAAGGTTGAACTGCATTCACGTTTGAGATGGTTATAAAACTGCAATCATTCATAAGGAGAACAAATATTATTATTAAGCGGCCATGACTCATAAGGAGGACTAACAAACACATTATTATTATTATTATTATTTTTTTTTTACGTTAATTTGATAATTATATAATAAAAGAGTTTTTTCTTCTTAAAATTTTTTTTTTCTTATCTTAGAATTTAAATTTAAAATTTTCAATATAAAAGTTTAAATTCTTAATTATTGAATGTTTCACACATTATTAGTACACTATTATTTAGACCAAACAAATATCATGCCCAAGGTCAAGGGACACGCAAGTTTGTCATGCATACCAGTGTCTTTCAAGTAGACACACTATGGAGGACTACAGTCTCGATTGTGAGACCGGCCCCGAACCCTAAGAGCACGCCCCAGTCCAACCCTTCACCTGTGGTCCTAAGCCCTTCTTCAGCTGACTTCTTTCTCATCTCATCCAAAATGAATAACACACATGCACCAATCATGTTGCCATACTCAGCTAGGACATGCCTTGAAGCATGTAACTTTTCGGGTTTCAGACCCAACTTGGCCTCCACTTGGTCCACGACTGCCGGTCCGCCTGGATGCAAGATCCAAAAAACAGAATTCCAATCCGAGATACCCAAAGTTGTAATGCTTCAACTATATTGTTTTCAATGTTTTCGGAAATGAGAACAGGAATATCTCGGCGGAGGTAAAATAATGGCCCAGCGTCAGAAATACGTCCACCTATAGCTCCTTCGCTGTTTGGTATGATAGTTTGGCTTGCGGAAACTAATTCAAACAACGGCCTTTCAATTCCAGGTACTGGGTCTGAACCAACAATAGCAGCGGCTGCACCATCGCTAAACAATGCCTGACCCACGAGATTGTCAAGGTAGGACTCGACAGGTCCATGAAACGTGAGGATAGTACTCTCGCAGCAGACAACAAGGACACGAGCACCCTGGTTGTTCTCTGCTATGTCCTTTGCTATGCGGAGTGCAGTGCCACCTGCAAAGCAGCCTTGTTGGTAAATCATGTGGCGCTTGACGGATAGGTTGAGGTCTTACAACTTGGTGAGATGATAGTCAGCCCCAGGCATGTCGACACCAGCAGAGGTGCAAAAGACGAGGTGAGTGATCTTCGACTTAGGCTGGCTCCATTCCTCAATAGCTTTGACGGCTGCTTCTTTAGCCATCTTTGGCACCTCTACCACCACAATATCCATCCTGGCATCTAGTGAAGGAGCCTTGTATGAACAAATATTTGGATTCTTTTTGAGTATGTCTTCCGTCAGCAACAAATGACGCTTATTAATCATAGATTTCTCACCTGAAACAACAAAAGATTAACATTAAATGGAAAAAAAAAAAAAATCCGAGATCCATCTGCGCACTTTGAATTGATTTTGACACTCTTTATCAAGAGTTATTTTTACAGTTTGATAACTATATTATATGAAAAATAATTAATTTTCAATATCAAAGAATCTATTGTCATACAATTTAACTTATGCATACGTCACAACGGTTTATTATTTTATCAAAAAGACAGAAATTAAGAACATTGAGTGATGGGTGAGAAAGGGACTTTAGGTGAAGTAAGAATTTAGAAAGCAAATCAGAAAGACGTGTAATTAATATTAATGTTGAAAAGGCAAACAGTTAACAAGGAAGGAAGCATACAAATGCGCTTGAATTTGTCTTTAAGCTCAGTCTTGTGCTCGCTGTTGGTAATCCGGAAATAGAAATCCGGGTTAAGTGCTCTGATCCACACGGTTGGTCGGAGTGGCGGTGCCGATGGCCATGATCGTAGCACGTTGGGACTTGCGGACATCATTGTCGGTCGCCATATTAACAATTTTGATTGCAAAATTATTTTGGGGATGCAAATATATAATAGCTAAATCACGGTAATGCTTGTATTGTGGGAAAAAGGAGAGACGTTGGGTCTCTATTTACTATAGCATTCGGCAGACCAAAATGTTACGCAATTGAGTTTTCACGCGATTCTCAAGTTAAGAATGAAAGGAATTGGGTAATTGTTTTTTTACTGTATCGGTTAAAAGTGTAATTATTATATATTTTTATATTAATTGATATTAAAAAAATAAAAATTATAAGTTTTATTTAAA